TATTTTAGAATGGTATTTGTGAGAAATTTCTTAGGCGGAGAGGCCATTTATCCAAAAATGTCACCAAACTGTGCCAAATGTGTTTTTTACATCAATACTGGGGGTTTGGTAAAATTACGAGGTCACGTAGCAGCTGGACCCACCGGTGGGTCTGTAGGGTTCTAGGGGTTAAATAGACTTGGAACATATAAGACATCTACTGGTTCCAGTAAGGCTACCCTTCCATATTTTCCATGCTGATTCTAAACATACAGCTCTTGTTTGTGTAAGGGTGCAGTAATAAAAGTCAATGTACCATAGGGAGTGATGACCTCGTGGTTCTAGCAGTGCGCTTGTGCTCTGAGGTTGCAAGTAACCGGTTAGATCCCTACAACCGGCATTCTGGGTCCCTTAGCAAGACTCTTAATCCCACACTGCTCCCCGGCTGCCACACAATGGCAGCCCACTGCTTGCCAAGAGGAGTAACCGAGTAACTATCACTAATGTACCACTAATAAATAGATTTTTAAGTTTCTAAACTATTTCACTGCCCCCCAATCACACGCACGCAAGTTTTTTTCAATCCATTTAAAGACTTTACATTTACTAACATTTGTTTTAGTTGCTGCATTTATGCCTGACCCTGACATTTACCCAAACCGTTATCAGTATAGTCCTAACTCTAGCCTTAAGTTAAATGTAATTAACAACATAAATGACATTGCTGACTCTCTGAGATTAAAAATGGGGTTCTTCCACAGCCTTTGGTCCCCATAAGCCCTGTTGGTCCTCAGAGGGTTAGTAAATATACCAAAAACATTGCTAAATGGGTAACATAAACAAGTACATACACACTCTAATCACACTATTATTTTGGGGAGTTTCCATTGACTTTGCTTCATATTGCATTCACCTCTATGGCCTTGCCCACATTCTTACCTTAAGTCTAATTATTACCAACACATAGCTAATCCTAAACCAGACCTAGACTCGATTCACACCTTACTCCTTAATCTAATTCCCATATTTCTGGGAAATTGTCCCCACATGGTAAACATAAACTTGGCCACACACACATTTCTCTGATGCCGCCACTGCTCAGTGGGTTGCCAACCAGCGACAACCAAGCAAAAGTGCTTAATTTAAGCACTTTTGCGTTCCTTACTTGATCCACTTCCTATATACATACTTGTAAAAGCACATTGATCCACATTTTAACCCAATTTTCTGCAATCATTTCGCAAATAATGTTTGTGGATTTATGCTAAAGCAATATAAACAGTGCATTTGGCAATAAAAAGCAGTTCCCCAGTCAGTCAGCAACAGTCCAGCATGCTGTTATAGAATAACAAAAGGACATGAGTGAATATGAGCTAAATATAGACTGAGTCCAAACACTCAAAACAAGAGAAAAATGAAAAGAAAGTTTTATTACCTTAACAGAAAATCTATAGAAAGAATATAATCCTACTGTCCTTTAATATCTTTAAAAGCTTTCCTCTCAGCGTGATTTATTGTCTTATGTGACCCTGAGTATCCCAGTTATACTCCAGTCTATATTAAATGAGTTTTTTTAAACTAAAACTTGCTTTTTAAATGTCATCCTAACTAATTAAAACAATGATAGAACAAACTTAAAAGTAAGATTTCTCCAACTCAATGTGAATGTGGCAGTGACTGCAAAGGGAAAACACTTCAATATATCTTCTTTGATTTTAAAAGACATTTGAAACTAAATATGCTATTTAAAGCAGAATCTATTTAATCTTTTTTTAACGGTCTCCTTAAACAGTTTTACTGATTTGGTAAGGCCCGACACTTACCGGATCTGCTGGTTGGCCTCACTGCGGATCTTGAGCACCTCTTTGCCCTTCAGCTCCAGCTCTTTGGTCAGGGTGCTGATGTTCTCGTTGAGGGTGTGGATCTGGTGGTCCAGCTGAGCGATGTGGCTCTTCCTCCTGGAAACCTCCTCCTGCAGCTCAGAGATCCGATTGAGCAGGTCGCGCTCCTGGGAATGAGGATGGGGGGAAAAGTTAGGAACCTCCAACTTCAAACCTCTAGGACTGGTCTGATAGAGTCCTGCTGATACACGATCTCGCAGGCTTGAGCACCTCACTCCTCCTCTGGCTGCTCTTCAATGACTTCTGGTGAGCTACAGAATGAATTTTAAAATGTTGTATTGGTTTTTTAAATGCTTCCAAGGACTTGTTCCACACTTGCGTCAACCGCATCATCCTTACGGTCTTTAAGGTCAGCTAATCAGCTTCTCCTGGCCCCTCCAAGAAGGAGGCTGAAGCTCAGAGGTGACAGCATGAGATACATTCACTCAAAGGAAGGTTACTCTACTTTAAGTTAATT